AACTGTGGGTTGACCCCTTAAACTATTACCTTAGTTGAAAGTGACCCCCTAAACTATTTTTTTGGTAAATTAACCCCTTGAACTGTTTAAAATAAGCCAATTAACCCCTTGTCGTTAGATTTTATCCACTATTCCGTCAAATTCAAGGGCAAAATAATCTTTTTATCATCAATTTTTACTTGTTAGTTATAACCATTAATAAAATAATGACATGTGGACAAGGAATAATTCAAAAACTTATAGCATAATAAAAAAACATAAAGAAACCAAACGTTTGCATAACATACAATTTAACATTGTTATTACACATTATTATGTGCCCACATGTCAAAATTTATTGGTGGTTATAAGTGACATGTAAGAATTGATGATGAAAAGACTACTTTACCCTTGAATTTGACATAATTGTAGATGGAATCTAACGACAAGGGGTTCATTAATTTATTTCAAATAGTTCACGAGATTAATTTATCAAAAAAATAGTTCAGGAAGGCAATTTTAATTGAACTAATAATTCAGAGGTCAAATGACAATTTACCTTAACAAAAACTGTTTAAAATGCTTTTACATGATGTCACCTTCTTCCCACCACGTACCGCGCCAATCCACGCACTTTCCAACCCACGAGCAAACACCATCCCCTAAGAGCAACTCTAGCGTTGGAGCCCTCCCCCTAAGCTATTCACTATTCAATCCACCTGATGAACAGTAACTGCCCTTAATGAACAGTAATCTCCTTTTGCATCTTCACCGTTACACTTCAATAGCTCTAGCAATAGACAATAAAATATTAGTATTTTTTTATTTATAAAATAATACAAAATCATTTTAATTGCAATTTCAGATAAGATTTTTAATCATTCTAGTTGCGCCACGTGTCATTATCCGAAGTATTATTAAATAATACAAAATAATTTTATTTGTAATTTCGGATAAGATTTTTAATCGTTCTCGTTGCGCTACTTGTCATAAAATCCGAAAAGACAATTATTAGGGATGGATTTCCGATAAGATTTTTAATCGTACTCGTTACGCCGCATGTCATTATCCGAAAATACAATTATTGGTGATGGATTTCTAATAAGATTATTAACCAATCGCGTCGCGCCACGTGTCATAATCTGTTTACAATCTTTGAGGATAGATTTCCATTATATTTTTAATGGATGACAGCATGCCACGTGGCATTATCTACAACCTAATCCTTTCTGAATCCTCCATATAATCCACCATCCATCCTCACAAATCTCACACCAATTTTCTCAAGATCTCTATCATTATTCATAGTTTTTGCTTCATTCTTCACAAAAATCTGTATGATTAATTCATAGTTTCTGCTTCTTTCTTACAATGTCTTCTTCTTCCTCAAGGATGATGTGGGAACTCGATCAGGAAGAGGAAGAATTGTTTAACCAATCAGAAGGAATGTTCAATCACCAGGTGGCAAAAAATGAGAGGGAAGAAGATGAGGAGCATAGAAGGAGAGATGACGAAGTAAGAATGGGCAGAGCCTCACATTCCCGTCGAGTCATCCAAGCTGTGGCTCAGATCTGCAGGCCCAATCATTCCGGAAACCTTGATAGAAGCAGGCAACGACGAGGTATAAAACTCTTGGAAGATTATTTTGTCCCTAATAGTGCATTCCCTGATACGTACTTTAGACGTCGTTTTAGAATGGAACGACATTTGTTCAACAAAATCATGATTGCTATTTGCAACCATTATTCTTACTTTGTGCAAAAGAAAGATGCTTTTGGTGCTATGGGTCTCCTTCCTCAGCAAAAAATTACTACTGCCTTGCGGATGCTTGCATATGGAGCATCTGCAGACCAAATGGATGAGAAAACGAGGATGGGGAAATCAACCATTCTTGAGTCCCTGATGAGGTTTTGTGGAGCAATCAAATCTATCTACACCGCAGAGTACCTCCGGAAACCTATAAACATGGACTTGGAATGGCTTTTAAAGAAGGCCAAGATGCATGGTTTTCCTAGGATGATTGGAAGCATTGATTGTATGCACTGGACGTGAAAAAACTGTCCAAGTGCATGGCAAGGCGCTTATGGGGATAGAAAATGAGCAAAAAGTATCATTTTGGAGGCGGTGACATCTTTTGATACATAGATTTGGCACACCTTTTTCGGGGTTCCAGGAGCTCAAAATGACATCAACATCCTTGCCCAATCCCCAGTGTTCAACAATGTCTTGCAAGGAAAGGCACCAAAAGTCACGTATGAGGTCAACGGACGTATGTACGACGGGCTATACTACCTAGCTGACGGCATTTACCTGCGGTGGTCAACATTTGTCAAAATAGTGCCACGTCCGCGAAGTGCAAAGGAAAAACACTTTGCAAGCTGTCAAAAGGGGTGCAGGAAGGATGTGGAGCGTTGTTTCGGTATCCTCCAAGCTCACTGGGCGATCGTCAAGGGTGCTGCCAGATTGTTTGATGTAGAGTCGCTTCGATCCATCATGATGACGTGCATCATTCTTCACAACATGATTGTGGAAGATGAGTAAGATTATGACGCCGTTGATGAATATGAGCCAGACACGATGAACAATTCAAAAACACGTATATATTGTGCTCATGACGCCACCGATGAGCCCGTGCAACATGAGCCGTTACAAAGGGATGGACGTTACAATGAAAGACTCATTCAATGATATACTGCATTTCAAATGCCGGACATGCACAATGCCCGACAAATTGACTTGATAAAGCACCAGTGGGCATTGAAACAAGCTGAAGATAATTAAGTTCATTTAGTGTGTTTTTTTGAATTTGGTATGTTTATGTTATTTTATTTGGTGTATTTTATTATTTGGTATGCTTATGTAATTTTATTTGGTGTGTTTTATTATTTGGTATGTTCATGTAATTTTTTTAGTGAGTTTTTTATTATTCGGTATGCTTATGTAATTTTATTTGGCGTGTTTTTGTCATTTCAATAAATATTCTCTTAGTATAAATAACTTACCAAATTCATTTGAATAAATATTCAATAAATTGGAAACAACATAAAGTATTATATGCAATAAATAATAAATTACAATCCAAAGTGATTGAAAAATTATGGGCTCCGATTACAAAAACTACTTTATTCATCATCACTTAACCAATTTGTGGTGCTAGGATGATCTTCTCTTGTGGTGCTAGGACCATCTTGGCTTGCTCTCGCTTCTCTTGCACGCCTCCTTCACACCATGTCCGCTTTCTCTGACTTCCAAAAAAATTTAGAATTTGGAGACTTCCCTTCTAAAGGCGTGTTCATAATCTCACGATCTCGTTGAGCCAGTCTTTCTTCTCTAACATGTTCCCTTTCTTGCCTAAGTAGCTCTCTTTCTCTCTCATTAGCCTGAAATTCTCTCTCAATAGCTGCAGCTTTTGCATCCTCTCTAGCCTTATCAGCCTCATATTTTGCCATTTCCCTCGCCAAAGTCAAGAACTTTGCATAATCATTCTTGGAAGCACTCCCTTTTCTCTTTGAAGCCTTCTTACCTTGAGGCCTAATTGGATAACGGGTCGAACCCGACGCTTGTTCAGGGAGGGGCGTTTCAGGCACTTCTTCTGCATCATCTTCATGAACATGCGAGACATGATCGGGTGTAGAGTGTAGAGGGGTACTGTTCATGAAAACTTCTAGACCGACAGGCACAACTCTAAATTTAGGACAATCTTTGACAATATTCCAACATTCCCAATTGTTGAATGATTTATTTTTGCTTTTGGTTTTGGCAGCGTACCAAGCTTGTGCTTGAAGTTCCTACACAATGCGGTAGAAGAAATAATTATAATGAAAATAGGTAACAAATAAATAATACAAACAAATAATTATAATGTAAGTAGGTAACAAATAAATAATACAAACAAATAATTATAATGTAAATTTGGGTATAGTACAAACAAACAAATAATATATTGTTACCTGATTCGAGTAATTTTCCCCACTTCGAATATTGCTAATAGCTTGTGCCAAGACGTCTCTCTACGTACTAAATGATTGGCTAAGTAATTTCCAACGACTGGACATCAATTCTTTGGTTCTTTTCCCACCAATTTTCTCAAGATAATTGGTATGAATAAGACTCCACATTTCTCGCAACTGCATCTCATTACCCGTAAGCGAACTATGAGTAACTTCAACCCAGCTAGTACACAACGCAACATCTTCAAGAAGCGACCAATTCGTACCTGCATCAGTAGTCATTTTGTTGAAAAAAAAATGGATTGAAACTTTGAGAGAAAGAAAGGAATGTGATTGAAAGTAGTTGAGAAAATATGAAATTGTGGTGTAAGGTAGATGATAATGAGAAGGTATTTATAGAAAAGTAAAAACAATTTTTTTAAAAAAAATTTCAGATTTTTTTTCGAAGTTTTTACAATTTTTTACAATTTTTTTAAAATTTTTATTCAACTAATTAATCTCTGCTGTTGGATATAAAAAAAATTTTGAATTCCAACACTCCAGATTGTGCCACGTATCACAATGGTAACTTTTCTTTATTTTAAAACTATTTTTTCTTTTATTTATTTATTTATTTACAAAGCATATTAATATCCACCGTTGATCTCAGATCGAACGGTGGATATTAAATAGGATTTTTTTAATATTTTTACCGTTGAGATCGAACGGTCCAAGTTAAAGAGCTGTTGAGATCGAATGGACCGTGGGAAGCCACGTGGCTCCCAACGGTAACCGAAAAAGTTACTGATTTTTCTGATTTTGTGTCAACGACGCGCCCCCACGCGCGAGTGGGGTGCACGCGCCTGATAGAAAAAAATATAAAAAGGCTTGACGCCAGGCTAATGTCAACGCTAGCGTTACATCCACTCGGGCTCTCAGGCCGGCAATTTTCACGGGCCCGAAGCTCGGGCCTCCACCTCCACTTGGGCTCCTTCACGCTGGAGCCGGTCCACAGGGCCTGGGCCCCTTTTCTCTGGCCTGTCCCCCGAGCACCCACCTACGGTGGAGTTGCTCTAAGTAGTCCTCCACCTTCCGTAAATACTCTCTCTCTCTCTCTCTCCCTAGGTACACAGTTCCAAGTTCCAACAGTCCGCCAAATGGCCCGACTCCTCACTCAAACTCTCCATCTCCGTCAATCGCTCCTTCGCCGCCCGCTCCTCCCACCCTCCCTCACCCAAGCCCACCGCGCCCGCTCCTCCCGATCCGGCAAGGCCGAGTTAATCGAGATCGAGCTCGACCCCTCCACCTCGTCGTCGCCAAGTGATTCAGAGAAATTAATGCTCAAGAAACTGGACGACATCGTTCAGACCATCGTCGTCCAGAGGGCCACGCCCGATTGGCTCCCCTTTGTCCCCGGCTCCTCGTTCTGGGTCCCACCTCGACGCGCCCCGTTGAAAGTGACCGACTTGGTTGGCAAATTGGCTGACCAGCTCACGGATGAAGAAACCTTCTCTGTGGCCACTGATCGTGGATGGCCTTGCTCCCAATTTTTCATCAATGGTGGTATGGGCAATTTCTTTTTCTTTGTTTTATGCATGTAGGAAGTGTGTTTAGTTTTTGGTGGAATTGCTGGTTATTATAAGGAATTGAACTGGGATTTTAGTTCTAAGTATTTGTGTGATTTTTTTTTTTTTTTTTTTGTAGTTGCAAATTGTTATTAATTAGTTTTTGTTTGATGGGGTGGTGGAATTGCTTTTTTTACAAGGAATCGAAGTGGGTTTTTAGCTTTTGTGTATTAAAAAATGTTTTTAGTTTGTTTTTCTTTTTATCAATTGAAATGGGCTTTTAGTTTTGTTTTGTGGCAATTAATGGGACCTTTTGTGTTTGGATACCTTCAAGGGCTTCAATTGTAGCTTCGTTGGTGAACATATTTGGGACATGATGGAGATGCTAAATGTTTCCGATATCCGTCATGAAATGTCTAATTGATTATGGAAAGTTGACCTGGAAGAAAATGAAATGACATCTATGCTTTTGAATGGATGAGATGAGTGCTGTTTGCTTATTTTATCATCTTCCATGCTAGTTTTAAATGCAACGGACTAATATATAAACAAATGATTATTTGAGTTTCATGTTTTAGCTCTTAATAAATATTTTGGGTATGATCAGGTACTGGATCTGCAGAAACAAGGGAAGTGGATACGGAGGCAGAAGGATCAACAGAAATAGAGGTGGAGGTGGAGGTGGAGGTAAAGGTTTTGACTGATTCACAGAAGCCCTCTCGCTGTGAGGATGATTAAGGTTTTCTCATCTCTCTATCAGCCTGTTTGCTTGGGTGAGTTCCCTTACTTATGACAACCACTGATGCTCCTTTGCACGCATATCATGACCAAAATAGTGTTGTCATTTCCCCTTAGGATATGGATTTAACTTATCTCTGTTTAGGTTTAGGCTGTTAGTTTCGACCTTGGTGGTAAACCTGCTTGTTTGTATTGATATTTTGTAATTAATATCTTCAGCAATTCTGTTTGTGTTCTGTTGCTGTATAGTTTGAAATAATAACACCCAACAACAGAAGGGAATGAAATATTAAATGTTGAGCATGTTGTATATGCATCCACGCAGTCACAACTTTATCCCCCAGATAAATGATCTTTATTTATAGAGTCTTATCGTGTATTCAGGTGTATGATCTTGTGGCTTCTCCCTATCTTCTTTTCTAGTTTTGAATTTCTGTTTCTACGTGCTTTGCTACAACGTTCTGAGTTTGGATGATGGTGTGTGCGTCTGTTAACGGCTCTTTTAAACCTTGCCAAGGTTGAGACTAGACCAAGCTCGCTTGGCTTTGCTAAGTATCTCAAAGCTTCGAGAGAAGAAAATTTTGGGCTGTAAAGAGCCTAGCAAGCTAAGGGAAAACTACACCTATGCCCATCACACTTTGTCTGGTGTCACTTTGCCACCTGAGAAAAACTTCTTTTGTGCCCCCTTGAAATTGAAAAAGTTGCAATTTGAGGCTTACAGTCATTTTTGTCCTATTTCATATTAGATTTTGTCATATGCCAAGCGCATCAGCCTTTTGTGAGGGTACTTCTATGACTCATTATCTTCTCTTTCACCCATCTCGTTTCTTTTCTCTCTGCGCTTTCCTTTCTCTCTTCTTTGTCTCTCGTCTCTGAACAAACACTTGGATTAGATCCAAATCTTTGTTGTGGGTATGAAAGTTGGTTTGCAGAATCTTCCCTCTCTCTCTCTCTCTCTCTCTCTCTCTCTCTCTCTCTCTCTCTCTCTCTCTCTTTTCGCACCTCAGAAACTTTCTTCCCAATAAAATTTAACCCCAAACCGCAAGTTTCCTTTCAAGATCTGCATATGTTTTCTCCATTCTCTCATATCTCTTTTTGATTTAAGGGCTTGCATGTTTCTGCTTTGTTCAGGGATGATGCGCATCAACTCAAAAATTCTTAGTTTATCACTTGCTAGATGAAATTTCCATACATGCGTTTGTCATCATCTTTACAGTTTCAGGTCTTTATTAGAAATGGATTACACTCATGTGTATCAACTGAATAATGGCCCCTGAGTTGGAAATCAGTCATCCTTGTTTATGTATTGTGGACAGAGGATCAATCTTCTACCTTGTGCTTGTGATTCAGAGTATGCAAAAGTGAAGAGGCCATCTTTTAGTTGTTCGGCAGCACCATATTGGACACGCGTGGCCAGACGGGACACAATGGTGTGTTCGGGTTTGGGTTCTGGAGATGATGGAAGTGTCATATGAAATTAGCGTTGTAAAATGGAGTGGACGGGATGTTGAAGATTCTTGTTCTCTTGTATAAATAGCATTTATTTTGTGTCGTAGCCAGATTTCATAAAACCAAAATTTTGAACTCTCTGATTAAGTTAGTCTCAGTTCAACTAAAGTCAAACTTATCAATGGTTAAAATTGTTGGTAAGTTTGAGAACTCTACTCATTATTTAGGACCGCTTAATAGCCATTTCGTTTTTAATTTTTAGTTGTTTCCTTTTTATTAGAAACTAGCCTTTCTGTTCTGCACGCACTAACGTGCGTGCGAGAGACATTTTTGCATCACGGGCGTTACGCGCCCCAAAGATGTGTTGTTTTAGATATTCTTATATTTCTTAAGTGATTATTTTATAAAATGTGTTTGTGTCCATCACAACAATTTCTTATTATTTTCAATTTTTTATTATGTTCAATCATCTAACTTAGTCTTTTTGCACCTACCCATTGTACCCAAAAATGAAATTTATGAATTGTACACTAACCAATCCATCTTTTTTTTCTTTTTTTTTTGCTTGCTAATTATTATGGTGTCTTTTTTTTTTTTGTTTGGCTGATAGAATTTGATTTCACGAAATGAGCTATGCTTGATCATTATTATGACTTTGGTAATTAAGTTACTCAGTCTAGTTAGAATTTTGTTATCTCCATCAGTACGATTTTACCTTTATATATTGTACAGAAGATCAAGAGTTAGGTTCCTTAAACTCTCATATAAAAAATAAAAAAATATGCTTAATTATTTAATGTTGTATAGAAAATATGAAATGATCAATATATTTTGTAACATGAAGATTAGTGGCTGTATTAAAAGGGTGCACAACAACATTTTTTTATTATGGTGGACAAAAAGGTATTATGGGCAATATTTGGCGTCATTCGAGCAGGTTGGTAGATCATTTGTTCAATGGTTGTGTGAATGGGATAGTTGATGCAGTTAGAGGAGTGAGTACATAATTATGGGTGTGCCATTTTGGGTTGGGACTGAGATGTTCAACATTAGAGCATGGGCCAGGCTACGTAGTTCCAGTTGCTTGAGTTGAAGAAAGGTTGATGAGATAATGGTGTTACCGTACAATCATCCCATCATTCCAAAGTGATAATGGTGTTATCGCATGCCATATTGTCATATTGCCACATTTGTTGAATAATTTAGGAGCATATATTCCATCCAATTTGCACATATGTGAGTAATCTCTCATACATTTTTTACTATTTTTTCTTTAAAACAACAACGAAGATAAAATGGGAAAACATATACTATTTATAAATAAAAAAATATGAAAATATGACATGTAATTTGATTTCTAAATACATATTGACAACACTTAATGTCCTTAAATCAAAATGTTTCAGATTCATAAGTTTTCAATCAAAGTTATAGGCTAGCTAGGGATGAACTCCTAATATATGAAGCAAAGCAAAATATGGACAACATGTACATTTGTAAACATAGCGCCTACGTGTGAAATCAAAGCCATGCTTGCCACCCATTTGCTTGCACTTGATGCTTTAGATTTTCATGGTTAATCTGCAAGCAATAATGATAAAATAAGAAGTCTAACTATAACGCACAATCCCAACTATAAAGATTGTAAGCAACTTAACCTAAATACCTTTAAGTTTGACAATTTTCTCATGGCAATACTTTTACTCCAGTTACTTGTAGAATACTGAAAGATAAATATATTTGTCAAGTTTGAGGTAACAAATTGTAACAATATTTACAAAATTAAATAATAAGAAATATTACCTTAATCTTGTACTTCAACCTTTGTACTTTGAGACGGGTGTGATGCTTGCAAAACTGACAAAAAATGCAATTTTATTTATATTTGAAAATTGAATGCAATTTGAATTTATAGTATATTTTTGTATGAAAATAAGAGAAGACTTACCGTATTTAGAAAAGTTGTTTGGCCACTGTTAATCTTTTTTCTGCACCCATAAATTGTTTTATTTTATTTTATAATTTGAGATAATTAATTTGTAGAATGATATAGAGAATGCCATTAAAAATAAATAGGTAAGAAATGGTGTTGTACCTTATTTGTTGGACTTTATTCCAAATACGTATGATCTGAGGAGTTGTTGAAGGTTTTAATTCTTCCACAGCCTTTTTCATGCGCCACCTATATATTGAAGGTATATATAATGTTAGATTTCTTGTAACAAATTTGTATATAATTTAGGATACATACTGCTCATGCTTCTTCTTTTTCCACTCTTTGAGAATCAGTTGGCTTAGATCAGTAGTTTTTACTCCGACAGATATCTCCCAACCAGGTGTAAAAATACAGACACGTCTGTTTGAGATCTTATCAATAGGTTCCTTCTTCATTTTTTGTGGGTATTCTTGTAAATATCCTAAGAATGAAAACAAATAATTTTTAAAATTACCATAGCACACGTATAGCACATTAAGATAATCAAAATTGAAATTCACAATCTGACCAAAATTTAAAAAACACACAATGAAGATTTCAAAGGAAGAAATTAAAAAACCCAACTGAAGCTAAATCTGGGAATCATACAATTACATATTATGCTTACATGGAAATGTGTAAAATGAGTACAACCATGCAGGGAAAGGAAGTGAAAACCCACCAATCTCGTACGACTGTGCTTCCATCACCATGCTTCTAGTATCCAATTAATGACAGCATGCATGCTAAAATTTGACGGAGATGGGGATTGAGCTCATATCATTTACAAACACAAAATAAAAAAGATCAAAGAAAAAGAACAACTTAGAGAAGTGAAGGCGGAGCAAAAAAAAAGGGGAGTATAAGATTTGGCCACATAATCAAAGGAGATGGGGAGTACATATAATAATACTGTAGCCGGAATGGAACAAATGGGAATGTACGTGGGAACTAAGAAATTACTGCTTGGTAGTGGGAGAAGTTCACCGTTTTTTTTTTAAACTAACGATAACCTCTATCCCTTTTCTCCCACATTATTATTATTATTTTAAATATAATTTTGTTAGATATTAATATCTCCTCCTAAAATGGAGGAGATACGTTCCTGTCCATTTATTTTTTTTAAAACTTTTTCTTCCTTTTTTTTTTTCCAATAAAACAAATTTTAATTTTATGTTTAATATTTGTCTCCTAAAATGGAGAGCAGTTACGTTGTTTTTGTTTAATATAATTTTGTCAGATATTTTTAATATAATTTTGTTAGATATTAATATTTCCTTCTAAAATGGAGGAGAAGTTATTCACAACATTCCTGTTGTTTTATTTGTTTTTTCGTTTCCTTTTTTTTTTTTTCCAATATAACAAATTTTAATTTTTCTGTTTAATATCTCTCTCTCCTAAAATGGAGAGCACTTATTCACTATGTTGCTTTTTTTTTTTACTTAATTTTTTAATATTTCTCTCCTAAAATGATGTTGAGTACAATTATCTCTGACTTTAATATCTCATCCTAAAATGGAAGAGTTATTCATCACGTCCCCTACTTTTATTTGTTTCTTTTTGTTTAATATAATTTTGTGAGATATTACTATCTCATCCTCAAATGGAGGAGTTACCCATCACGTCCCTTTACTTTTATTTGTTGTTTGTTTGTTTAATAATCTAAAATATAGCAAGAACCGTACTAATCAAAATGGAAGCATAAACATTCTAAGAAATATTTGTTAAAAATCATGCATCAAGAAATTAAGGTGAATAAAAGAGAAGAATAACTAAATGCAGAAACCCGGCTGGTCAAAATTTTTTTGAGGCGCTTTCCCATAGATATCTATTTAAAAAACCACACGATAAATGCTCATAGCAGTTTCAAAAATGACGCCACATTCATCCTCTTCTCTTCCGAACGGTTTTGCCATTTTAGTTTGGATTATCTATTTTTTTTCTATTTATTTTAATTTGTTTTATTTTTAATATTTTTTGTTGCCTTTTTATTATTTATCTCTCTCTCCTCTCCATAACTACTAACTTTTAGAGGATAATTATCATGATTTTTTATTTTAATTACAATGTTTTGTTTCCAACTCAGATTGTGGAATTCTATGGGGGAGAAAACTGCCCACTACCGCTTAGCAGTTGAGAGGCTGAAGCACATCTACTTGTTTTTCTTTTTTTTTTCAATTTTCCGTTTTCTTTTCCAATACTTTTTGAATTTTGTTTTTTATTTATTTATTTATATTTTCTTTCTACTGTAACCTTCTTTGTTACATATATGGTAAAGATAGTTTTTTTTTTTTTTTTTTTTTTAATTTGTGTTTTTGAACTACCCACTACTGCTTAGCAGTTTATGAGGGTTAACTGTTAAGCACGTCCATTTATAGATTTTTTTTTTATTTGTTTTCTATTCAGTAATGGTTGTTTACGAATTTGTCCTCATTTTCGAAACTTTTTTGGATTTCAATTGTGAAGAAAATGAAAGGGCTTTCTTGGCATTTTTGAAAGCTTCACCAAACTGGCCTTCTCACTTTATATATATATATATATATATATATATATATATATATATATATAGATATAGATAAAGAGGAAATACAAAGAAGAAAGAGGAGGGAGGTAGGAAGGATGCAAAAACACAATTTTAAGTAGGTTTTATTTTCTATTTTTTTATTTTCAATTTTTGAACACATAATCTATATATATAAAGGGAGAGCCCCAGTTTGGTGAAGATATATAAAGGGAGAGCCCCAGTTTGGTGAAGCACTCCAAAATGCCAAAAATATCCTCTCTTTTCAATAAAACAGCACAAAACTATCCCAATATAAATGGGTAATAATCGTAAAATACAAATAAAATAAGGTTAAAATCGTAAAAAACAAAATATGAAAGCCACCCATACTTTTAGATTAATTATGACCGTTTGATTACTCATCACATTCTTTCTCTCTAAAAAAACCAAAAAAATAAATAAATATAGAAAAGCAGTTATGCAGTTACAGAGTTCTAGACTGAAGCCACCCCAAACCCAACAAACTCCCCACAAGCAGTTGTAGTGGTTGCAGAGTTGCACGATTAAAACCCCAACTACCCCACATTTCTATTCGGGAGAAACCCACTCAACTTCACGTACCCCTCTTTTTTTGTTGGTGCTTCTTCGTCCACCTTACAATTTGGTGTTTCTTCATCTATGCTTCTCCTTTAATATAATTTAAGGGTACCGGTCCACCTTATTTCATTTGATGCTTCTTCAACATCGAATTGTTTAATCTTAATTCACTTTGTTCAGGTTTTATTGAATTACAATATGGGTTTGCAGTTCAAAGTTGATTTGGGGATTTTAAAAGTGGTGGACAGGCACAAACAAGATGGCAGAATTTTCAAGGCTTCGGCAAAGGAGGTAAGACTATCATAATTTTCCCCATAAGAGAACCAAGATGGTGTTCCCTAGAAGATAACCAAGAAGGTTATTCAACCACACACTGTTTTTTTGATCTCTTACTCCCCATTTGCTCAGCTTTCTTTTGTTGTCTTTTTGTTTTTTTTTTTAATTTTAAACTTCATATACTTAATGTTTTGAGTTATCTCATGGACAGGCACAAACAAGAAGATAGCCTTGGCCTCTTCTAAGAGAATGTAATCCACACGCTGAAGAGAACCAATTCTTCTCATAAATATATTCTATTCTACATTAGCTTTCTTTGTTCTGTTAATTGGTACTTTTTATCTATCTGTATTGTTCTTTTTTATTTCTTGCTATTTTTTTTTGTCTGCATAATCCACGTATTATTTTGATAAAAAAAATAGCATATTATATGGGGTTTTATGCGGTTGATATGATGTTTGATTGGTTTCTTTGTAACCAAAAATTGTTTTCCCCTGGCCCTTAACGATGGAACGCGACCCCTTCTTTTTCGACGCAGTCTTTGAATAAGGTCTGAGGTGACCGTGGGGTGCAAATTACTAAGACTCCGAGACAACGACGATTGGGATGAAGATCAGAGATGCTCAAGTAGATATGTTAACAACTTGGCATTGTAAGTGTTTATAAATTCCAATTTGTATTACTGATAAACTATATATACCAAATGTGATTAGGAATTAAATTAAATATAAACTACATGGGGATAGAGAAAGCGATTTAGAGGGAGAGCCAAAATATACTTGGAGACAATAAAAAACTGCACAAATTTGTGACAAGTTGATGAGTAAATGACTCTTTGTTTTGCATTTGTTTTCTTTGGTAAGCTATGTCTAAAACTTTATTCATTTTATTGTAAGATTGAAGAACAAAGATAATTGTCTTCCGTCAAGCAGCTTTTTCTTAATACTGATTGCCAACCTGTTTGTAATAATAATTGGATAGTTTAATTTCTATTAGTTTAATTTTAGATGTTCTGACACACCCCGACCGAGATCGGAGCGTGCTGGCCGTCACACAAAGGTGACGTAGCCATGTGCACGTGCGGAAGCTAATAAGTAGTAATATAAAGGTACGAATAATTAAAAACTAGCATACAAGTACTAGAATAGGTGCTAGTTAGTGCGATACACATTCAGAGCAGGTCTATAGCAGTCCAAATAAAACGACAACAGTAGTACGCCCGAAGGCGACCCTACAATGTGGAGTGTCTGTCAGAACACCGGAAAGCTCTCAAGGGAAACCACCGCAACGGCTAAGCAACTAGAACCTGGAGGGGCGCAAAACAAAAGCGTGAGTGGGCAAAAACAAAGCTCTTTGAAAACCATTTCATAAAATACATTCTAACCCCTCACCGTAAAACCTGTATACTTCCCAGAAAATAACCATATGTACGTATGTATAGATATGCCCAACATGCTCAAGGGTATGCCAATCATGCTCAAGATATGCCATGTCAAAACCT